GACAGTTTTCTCAGATTTAGGCGTTCAATATCAGAAGTTGAAAGGGCTTTGAATCATAAAGGGCAATGGTATCAAGAAAGATTTAACTTGCAATGAAAAAGACTTTAGCGTAAATCCTGTCCACATGTTCTATGCATTATTTCTGGAAAATGTTTTGTGGTGCTTGTGCATCGTTTAGCACAGAGACCCTTACATTTGTGTATCTCTGGGTCCATCTGGTGGTAAGAATAGAAAAATACTTTTTGTGAATCAATCTAGAATCTAGAAAGAACCATTCTAGAATTATACATTGAACAGTTATTATATATATAATATATATACATGTATAAATTATTCTAAATTTTATACACTACCAGTCAAAAGTTCAAAAAAGTTCTACCAGTTATAATAAATAATTGTTTTTGTAATGTTGCTGAACAAAGTCTCTGCTCACCATGCCTCCATTTATTTGATTAAAAATACACTAAAAAACAGTCATATTGTGAAATATTATTACAATCTGAAATAACTATTTTCTATTTGAATTTATATTCAAATATAATTTATTCATGTGATGCAAAGCTGAATTTTCAGCATCATTAGTCTTCAGTGTCACATGATCCTTCAGAAATCATTCTAATATACTGATTTGATGCTAAATTAATACTAGTGCTCAGTTATTAATAATGGTTCTTATTATTATCAATAATACTGTTTTTGCTGCTTAATATTTTGTGGAAACGTTTTTTTCAGGATTCTTTGATGAATAGAAAGTTAAAAAAAGGTGCAATAGTTGATTGTCTTCAGAAACATTTTTTGTTATGCTGGTTGAAAGTCTCTTCACATCCCCATAGCAATCATTAAGTTAAGTGGTCTAAATGTATTTGTCTGTATTTATATATTCTGTGGAAGGCGTAGGACCAAGAAATGTTCGTCCAATCAAAACGCTCGGTCCGAGCGTTTTAATTGACTTTCTTACCTGCCTGTCAAGTAAGTATCTGCATACCTCTGCGCACCCGGTTCGCGCAGACAGTGCGTTCACACACACTGTGCAGACAGAGCGAGAATGGCAGACGAATGCCTTGTCCAAATACCCACACTTGCGGTCTTGGTCTAGGAAGTAAGTGCGCAAGACTGTCCCAGGTCTTAAAAACTGCAAAGCGCAGTGCCCTTAACGCACACTAAATCCACACTATCTCGAATTCAGATAACCAGCTAGTTAGAAGTGAGCTGTGCATGAACTGTGTTCCGATCCATATGATCCCTACAGTGTTCATTGCTCCCTCCCTCCCTGAGCAGGGGAAATCCGTTGAAGTTTAACATACTTCACTTCGGAACATGGACTGGAATTGGGAACCGCTGATGTAGCCTATTGTAGTAATGTTGTCTCTGGTATTCTGGTCTGTGAGTGTAAATGCGTTTAGGAGGCGTGGCTTTGGACTGGATTGCAGGGAGGGTGGGACATTTGCTTTCAGGGCTCTCAGGCTAAAGTTAGCGTTTTCCAAGATCTCCTACTGCACCTTTAAAAAAGGGCAGTTATTTAAAATAGAAATGTTTTGTAATATTATAAATGTTTTCACTGTCCCTTTTGATCAATTAAATATAAATAGGGGGGAGCGGGGTGATTTGTGCCTGTGGGGAAGTTGAGCCACCCCATGTTTCTAGACATCCTTTGGTGATATGTTGGTGACAATTGGTGATATGACCTCAATTATTAAATTAATTAAAAAGAAGCTTAGTTTACCGCGGAAGCGGTCGCGACTGCGGTTGTGGTAAGACCGAAGAGTGTAAAGACCATCGACTCTACCGTGTCCCCTATCTAATGCTGGAAATATTATCATTTTGAAATACAGAAAAATGCAGACAAATATGCTGAAAGAGATTTGTTTTCTTTATTCCTTCTGAAGGTCAAAGGTCTGTCTCTTGGCCTAGAGAGGGACAGCTGTGTGGTGCTTATAGATCTCCGGTCACTTTCTCCCCATATGGATCAGCTCAGATACAGCTGCTCTGAGGCACCATGTATATGGCAAGCCGTTTTAGCTTAAATTGTTCCCAGCGTTACTCGTCGCTAATTCAATCATTACTAGTAAAAACTGAATTAGAGAGCTCTTTAATAATATTTGTTACTAGTAAGAACTAAATTAGAGAGCTCTTTAATTCAGTTGTTACTAGTAAGAACTGAATTAGAGAGCTCTTTAATTCAGTTGTTACTAGTAAGAACTGAATTAGAGAGCTCTGCAATTGCATTCTTACTAGTAACAACTGAATTAAAGAGCTCTCTAATTCAGTTCTTACTAGTAAGTATAAATACACAGGCGGGAAAAATTCGCGCCAATAGTAATCAAAATGGACGAAGTACACGGTATCGAGGGAGCGCAGCAGGCTGCATTAACTGCTTTTGATCAAGTGTTAACTGCAGTTTCTCGTGTAAGACAAGAATTGGAGCGGTCAGGTGAAACTAATATCTTGACTTCTACACGGCAGTTGTTTCATCGATCATGGAATGAAGGTAACGATGGATCCTTAAATGGTCTTAACTTAAATTAGGTTTTTAAAATTTAAGGCCATAAAGTCTTAAAGTCTTATTTTTACTTTTCCTAAATTTTAGATGACAATTTGACTTGGACATACCGGAATCATTTACCAAATTTAAACTATCTAATTACCGTACATATTATATTTTTATTTGTGGATTTGCTTGTTCACGTGACAATTCGCGGGCCTCGCGGCATTTACTACAGCGTACAACGTAGGCAACTGCCTCCTGCACGCGAAAGGAAGAGAGCAGAAGAAAATGGATGTCAGTTCAGTAATCGTTGTAAGTTCGTTCTTTATTTTCGTAGGGGTGTGTGATAAGTGTCATCTATGATTATATCGTAATTATAGTTTTTAACGATGTGCAAGCTAACATTGAGTTTGTCATTCACGCTTTCATTGCATGATGTATGCAGTTATATGTCCTCAAAATTAGAGATACATGGGCATTTTTGCCCCGATGAGTTTTCGTCTTATAATTAACGTTATATCATATGAAATGTAGTTATACAATGTCACACGAGCAAGAGTGCCGTTTTCCCCAAATCAGAACGATTGCAAATGTGATATATTTTATACAACAGTTAAATGAACAAAGTTAACATTGTGAGTTACATTTTAGACACTATTTTCAATATTGTTTTTTTTCATTTCTCCCAATGAAAATTTTAAAATGAAGAACAGCAGAACAGTCTCCGTGCAACAGACAAATGTTTTTATATACTGACTGAATCCGCATTTTGAACGAATCAGTCGTTTCTGAATGAATTAGTCGTTTGAACAAATCGGTTCAATGAATGATTCGCTCATTAAGAGTGACTTGCTGCACCTACTGGCAGTTTATATAGTTTATAATACATTTAAATTAAAAAGTAAAAAATTAGAAATAATTTAATATTTAAATATTGAATTAAATTTATGTAGACAAATTGTAAATGCTGTGTAAATATATTAATGCCACTTCTCATGCCGCTTCTGTGTCACCTCTGCATTGCAAAGATGGATTTTGTTGATAATGATTTCATTTGATTGGTAAAAGCCCTATAGTGTAATAATATTGTAATATAATTTATTAATTTGAAAGATTTGCAATCCAAAACGCCGTTAATTTCGCCGTTTGGCCATCCATAATACGCCGTAATTTACGGCGCTCCGTTTGACAAAGACGGCGTAAAAAACGGCTTTTTCTGTAATATTAAAATCAGCCCCTCCTTTTCTAGACAGTCCAGCCCCTTTGATGCAGTAGGCAGTCAGACATGAGTAGTAGAATGTCGTTCTGCATGGCGATCTACTTCAAGGATCCTGTTTTTTAACGTTATGTGACCAACATTTGGACTTTCATCTTGTGATATTTTTACTTTTTCATTGGGTACAGGTGTATCTTCGTCTTCTTTATCATATGTACACAAATTGTGCAATTTTATTATCCTTGGTGTAAGTTGATGTGTGTCAAATGCAGTGAGCATAAGCTTGTGAGTATCGGTTTCAAATGTCAGTTCAGTAATCGTTGTAAGTTCGTTCTTTATTTTCGTGAAAATTTCAAAATGAAGAACAGCAGAACAGTCTCCGTGCAACAGACAGAAATGTTTTTATATACTGACTGAATCCGCGTTTTGAACGAATCAGTCGTTTCTGAATGAATTAGTCGTTTGAACAAATCGGTTCAATGAATGACTCACTCATTAAGACAGTGACTTGCTGCACCTACTGGCAGTTTAGTTTTATATTAAAATACATTTTAATTAAAAAGTTAAAATTAGAAATAATTTCATATTTAAATATTGAATTAAATTTATGTAGACAAATTGTAAATGCTGTGTAAATATATTAATGCCACTTCTCATGCCGCTTCTGTGTCACCTCTGCATTGCAAAGATGGATTTTGTTGATAATGATTTCATTTATTGGTAATAACAGCCCTATACTGTGCTATTATTCTAATAGAATTTAATGTGAATGTTAGAATTTGACCTAAAAGGTGATGCATACATCTAATAAGTATTTAGTAGGGCTGCACGATAATCGCATGCGATATTTAACGCGCATCTTGTCAGTAAAGCCGCTTCTCCTGGAAATCAATTTAAGGTGGCAAATAATGCTTTTGAAACGACTTTAAAAATATAAAATAATATAACTAATTATAAAAATAATTAAATTAAAAAATATATAAATTTTTATTTCTTCAGGTCTTAAAGGTCTTAAAAAGCCTTAAATTTGACTAAAAAATGTGCAGCAACCCTGTGCTTTTTTATATTTGCATTGGTAGGGGTGGTGGATTACATTTCATCTGTACATGGTATATAGGCTGTGTCCGAAGCCTGGAAAATGCTGCCTTCGGAAGTTCGGAAGACACATTTCAAGGTAGGAAGGCATAAAGGCTTCAATGCACGTCAATGTTGGCTTCTCTTCCTGCCTTCTGAGATGCCTTCATCTGATCGATTTTAAGGCAGCATAAATGTATTAGCTGCCTTTGATATCCCACAATCCTGTGCTTCATACCTCTGGCTGAGATTTATCAGGTACGTCTTGTGTTGGTACTGTAGTCCCTAACATGTGATTGCTCTTATGAAAGGTCCAATGTTGGCAATGTTTCTGTAGGAATCGGGATCTGATGCCATTACGTTTTCAGAAACGGTTGACGAAATAAGACATTCATACATCACCGAGGTAATTAAGAGAAGTTTATTTATAATTGATAAGCAGTTGACGGGGTTATTTTGCAGAATATGAGTTACTTGAGAAATGAACTAAACTGCAAAAAATGAAATCGTAAAAAAACAGCCAATGACTAAGCTGCGGCTGCCAAACAAAAACAGTAAAATTGTACCTCTAGTAAAATAAAGTGCAAAAAACCTTAACAGAAATTGTTCCTAAATGTTTTACAGAAAAAGTTATTTTACAGATATATCCTTTTTGAATTATTACGACCAAACACCTTCACTGCGAAAAAGTGACTGTCAGCAATGGCTGCCAAACAAAAAGTAAAATGAATGTTAAAGTATCCTAATTTCAATAAAGCGCAAAAAAAATTTGAGAATGAAAGTTTTTTTTTTTTTATAGGCATTTCCTGAATTATTACTAACAAATGAAGGTATTTTGATTGTACTAATTTAGGAAATACCTGTAAAATAAGTTTTTTTTTTTTCCCCGTTTATTTAAATTAGGATGTTTTACTTCAATTTTACATTTTTGTTTGTCATATGACCATTTTTTTTTTTACAATGAAGGTATTTGATTGTTATTGTACAGAGTTTTGAGTACAAATTAAAATAAAAGAAAACGACTGTAAAAAGATGGGTTATTTTCCATAAAATTTGGATTTTTGTTTTTACGGTGTACTCCTTTCTAAACTTAATTTTTTATTTTTATTTTTCAGACCGTTGAGGAACGTAGGGCAATGTGCCAACTACAAGATCAGGAATATAGTGCTTCATTGTTGGCAGACAGAGAAAAGGTATGTTTTTATAAGGTACATTTAATAAAGGGTTAGTTCACCCAAAAATGAAATTTCAGTCATTAATTACTCACCCTTATGTTGTTCCAAACCCCTAAGACTTTCGTTCATCTTCAGAACACAAATTAAGATTTTTAATGAAATCCGAGAGCTCTCTGATCCCTCCATAGATAGCAATGTAACTGCAACTTTAGTAGTACACATATGTACATATTTAGTAGTACATTTGATATATGTAGTGGTACATATATCGTTAAAATAGTCCATGTGACTGCAGTGGTAGTGTAGACAGCACAGGTCTTCAGAGTTTTATGTCAGAATGCTGGCTGGCTCACTATTGGCTGGATCCTGCATCAGCCTTACGTGGTGCTCATGTGAACAGCGTTCTGGCGCAAAACTCAGAAGCGATGCGCTGTTTACTCTGTGGATAGCGTAGCAAGATGAAATGGAGTAGAAGAGATTGTTGAATAAAGTAGTTTTTTTTCTTCTTCTTTTTCTTGTTTTTCTTCTTCATAAAGTATTCTCGTCGCTGCATAAGATTATTCACCCTTATGTTGTTCCAAACCCCTAAGACTTTCGTTCATCTTCAGAACACAAATTAAGATTTTTAATGAAATCCGAGAGCTCTCTGATCCCTCCATAGATAGCAATGTAACTGCAACTTTAGTAGTACACATATGTACATATTTAGTAGTACATTTGATATATGTAGTGGTACATATATCGTTAAAATAGTCCATGTGACTGCAGTGGTAGTGTAGACAGCACAGGTCTTCAGAGTTTTATGTCAGAATGCTGGCTGGCTCACTATTGGCTGGATCCTGCATCAGCCTTACGTGGTGCTCATGTGAACAGCGTTCTGGCGCAAAACTCAGAAGCGATGCGCTGTTTACTCTGTGGATAGCGTAGCAAGATGAAATGGAGTAGAAGAGATTGTTGAATAAAGTAGTTTTTTTTTTTCCATAAAGTATTCTCGTCGCTTCATAAGATTATGGTTGAACCACTGCAGTCACATGGACCATTTTAACAATGTCTTTACTGCCTTTCTGGGACTTGAAAGTTGCAGTAACCAAACTGTATGGATGGATGAGAAAGCTCTCGGATTTCATCAAAAATATCTTAATTTGAGTAATAATGACATAACTTTCATTTTTAGGTGAACTAACCCTTTTAATTAGGAATTCATTTAAAAGAATACATTATCAACTAAATTTCCTACATTAGGAGATGAGACGCCAACAACTTCAGGCTCAGGAGGAAAGACGCCTAAAGGTAACTGCTTCCTTAAACTTTTTGTAATTCAAAAGTCTTAAAGCTGTCAAATATAATAATTGATTTGTTAAAGGCAATTCATGAACGACGACAGAGGATGGCGTCTGTCCCAGAGCCTTCAGATGGTGTCCCTCTAAGGTTTAAATTTCCGAATGGACAGATGAAAAGCAGAAAATTTAGGATGTCAGAATCAGTTCAGGTAATGTGTCATACTATGATGTTTTGTTTATGGTACTTCAAGAGTTAGTTCACCCAAAATTTATTACTCACCCTCATGTCGTTCCAAACCCGTAAGACCTTCGTTCATCTTCAGAATACAAATTAAGATATTTTTGATGAAATCCGAAAGCTTTCTGAACCATCTATAGTAGGGTTGTGACGGTGAGGAAAATTTTCCCACCGGTTAATCGACGTGTGACAACACCGGTAATACCAGTATCACCGCGGGGGCGGGCGTTCCCTCTTTTCATAGCTTTCCTTCGCTTTTAAATAGCTTAAAAGCGCCGTGCGCATTTTACTTTCACTTTCGAATTAGCGGCAGTTCGGCGTCAATTGCTTGAATGCAACAACAAAATACAACTCACTTTAGCATATATATATAAAACATAGAACTTTTATTAACAAAACAAATACAAATAGCCTACACCATGCTATAGGGCAGGTTATGCCTAATATAAAATAACAAATAACTTACATAAAGTTTAAATGTACAAAACTGGAAACAAGTAAACATGTATAATAT